TGTTCCTCTCTGAGAGGACACACCTGCATGCATTTGTTCAGCATCCAATTGATGGAGTTCTCCCACTTTCAGTCTCTCTCTGTCTAAGTATACTTTTCTCTGTCTCTCTGTCTCTCACATGTGTATGTTTACTGTATTTTTTCTATGTGTTTTTGCATGTATATCCCACTATTCCCTGCAATCACGGATGTGTGGTTGGACAGGAGGAGTTCCCTATCTCACAGTTTCCAGGAGATACCTTGGTAAAAATTTGGAGCACCACTTTGAGCATTATAGTTCTGCCAGTGCACTTATTTTAGTGACACATAGATATTCCTTTGGGGAGTTTATAAATCTGTCATGATGTTGAGTCCCATCCTAAAAACTGAAAAAAAAGCCATTGCAGCATAGCTGTGATACACTCAGCTAAGAGAGATTTCCAGCAAAAAATGTCCTTTGCCACTCTGCTCCACTCCCCAAAGAGAATTTTCCAGCAGAGGTGCCCATTATTTCTCTGTTCCACTCTACTAGTGAGTTTCCCAGCAGAGATTCTGCTCTTCTCTGGCCAAAGATCTTCACCCTAATCTAATTCAAAAGATTTACATAGGGGAGAGGAATCCAGAATATTGGCTGCCTGTGTCAGTGTGAAAAAGGGCAAGCTGCCAGCTGAACAGACACAGGGCTTATATGGAGCTTCATAGTGGTGGACATTTCCAGGGAAAAGATTTTGAGGATAGATATTGATTGGATGTCAGGCTCAAGCTCAGAGATTGGGAGGCTTTCATATGCAGTGATTTTTTGGTTTTGTACTCAGGGATTGTTGGTTTTTCTGCTCATGGATGTGTGGGATTTGTCCTCAGTTGGTCAGAGGTAGGGTGTTTTTCTTGGGCTCTGGTTTCCTTGCCATATTGAATGTTTCTCACTGGTTATGATTTTAGTTTCCAGGCGTGTTTCTTTGGCTGACCTTTTACCCTACACAGAGGAGTTTATAAACTACTAAATTCATTTATTCCATAGTTTTACAGGGGCAAATGTAGAAATGGACATATCATGATGCCTGAAAAGATTGCTGACACTGTCAAATTTTTTTTACAGAATGAACACCATTGTGTAAAAATGCAAATGTTTTGGATAAGGATCTTCCCAAATACATTAAAATAATAAGCCCTCAGTACTTTTTGCAGGTACTCAAAGACTATTGTAATATGTAAAGGCTTTAAGAGACTGACTTCACAGAAAAAGGTTTATTCATGTATAAAGAGCAAAACTGT